TCTAACCAAACGGGCTCTAAGTTGATTGGTTAGTCATTTTAACAAACACTAAACATGCAGTATTTGAAAATGTCAAAAGAAAAGGCAATACAAGATAAAAAGTTTATGAAGAAAAGCGAAACTTAATTATCAAAAATAATAATATTCAACCAAGATTTGAGTTTAAGAATTTGATTGACTCACCCACAAATCTGTGACGGAAAGTTTCCAGAAAAGTGAGAAGTGCTAGGTTGGAACAGAAATGACAGAAAACAGGAAGCTACAATTAGTTAACATTAAAAAAAACAAAGAAAGTTGAAGAGAGAGGGGCGGGAATCGTATGTATGCCTCACCATTGCCATATATGCATCACCATAGAGTATAGGTGAAGGGAAACTTAAAATGCTCTGTTTATTTCACCGATTTGAGTTGAGAGTTTAAATTTTATTACAGTAAAAAGTTTTCAGAAACAATCACATTTAATTTTTTTATTATAATAAAAAATTCTCATATAAAATCACATTTTAACTCAATTAGTGAACTAAACGTGATCAATTATGTGTGTGAATCTTAAAAACACCCTTTCGATTATACAACATAGTCTATTCACAACATCTAACTCAGTTGTTGCCCAACTAAAAACTTTGAATGAATATGATACAAAAGAAAGAACTCAAGTCTCAAACTACATATTCTAACGTGAGAAAATACACTACCACAGTTGGTATGTATTCAATAAAGGGACACTAGAACAAAAACATAAAGTTCTTGATTATATCTAGTTCAATATGCAAGCATCTCTGAGATCTCTTAGAAAACGTCAATAATTAAATAAACGAGCACAAATTTTATTTTACTACTGAAATAAAAGAACTTAATTATTCAATAATGTTCTCAGCTTATTAGTGTCTACAATAACTTCAAGACTCACTTTAAAGACAACACAATGAACTAAAAAAAAGGACGGTAACGAAAGTTATACAAAAGGCATGCCTTTTAATCTGAGAAAAAAGTGGAATGACAAAGCAATAGCATATCTCGGAGAAGAACATGAAGATGTCGAGAGAGCATATAAGAAAAGAACGTAAACGGAGGAGATAAAGAGACAGACAGTATAGGACAAAAAAAAAAAAAAAAAAAAAAAAAAAAAAAAAAAAGAAAAAAAAAAAAAAAAAAAAAAAAAAAAAACAGAAAAGGTGTCTAGATACTTACACGTTGTCTGACCACAAGTATAACGTGTGACGAGCAAAGAGCAACAGTTGGAAAATGCTAAAAAGAAAAAGAAAATAAAAAAAAAAGAGCAGGTCAAGCAGGCAGGTCAACCGTTACCTGCCTGCCTATGCATTCTTTTTATATATGTAAGATAAGATAATATACATGATCCATTTAAGAGAAAAAAAAAAAAAAAAGTGTCGAGACGGTGACGTCGTCTCATCATATACCAGTTATACTTATTTACTTCTTGGTGTTTTGTAATGCCTTGCATAATTTTTTGGAATATATTATCCATTTCAAAATTATATATATGATTTTGTTCTTAGAATATATTATCCACTTAAAAAATATATGTACGTTTGTTCTTGTGATTTTGTTCTTGGAATATATATGATTTCTTATTTCAATATATATATATATATATATATTATCCTTGTTCTTTTTATAATTATTTTAGGCATCGTTTATTGGTGCAATGGCAATAAAATTAAAAAAGCACTTATAATTAGATTTGTTGACAGCAAATTTAAAGATTGGTTCTCAAAAATAGCTTTGCAGGATAAAATTTTACAATCAACAGATAGAGGACATGAAATTACTGTTAGCAACTATGGTGCCACCATTTTAAAGTCCCTGCACATTGACATTGCCAAAATGCTTTCGGCATGGATAAAGAGAAAGGAGACAAATACTCCTAAAAAGTAACGAGTCAGAATTTTTATCTCTTACTCTTAATTAATAATATTTTAATCATATAATTAACTACCAAAAGGGTATTAATAAAAAAATGAGGGGTAAAAATCCAGACCCATAAACTTTTAAGATATATTCTGTAATTTTTCTCCTCCAGGGGGATAAAGCTAGGATTTCCCAAATAGTCCATCCCACCTTCATTGAAGATTTGTGACCCAGCCTTGAACCACACCGCCTCCCCGAACTTGACCCCATTGCGGGCCAAGAGTTCGGGGAAGACGTAGCCCAGTGCACCGGCCTACCTTGCATGAATGACCCCAAGCTCTCGGTTGTGGGTAATCTTAACAAATATCCATTGAAAGTATATACATCAGAATTTTTACTCTTTATTCTTGATTCATAACCCTTTTAATCAAATAATTAAATTAAGAAAATGATATTTATTAAGAATAAGGGATAAATATCAAGACCATGAAGATTAAATTCTCTATTTTTTTCTCGGTTTTTAGCAAAGGCCTCAGGGTCGACTGAAAGCCCGGCAGTGTCCCAACCATAGACTCCAGGGAACTCTCCTATTAGGTTGGATGAGGCATCACCAGAGAATGGGCCCAAGTACTTGGTACTATTTGGGCCGTACCACAGGTTTCCGGATGCAACGGGCATGGGCTTGGCCACAGTTTTTCTCAGGGTTACTCTGCCTCCCCCAAGGAGGTCAGATGCTGAAGAAGCCATCTTTACAGCCTGGCCAGCAAGAGATGGAGGAGAGAGACATTGTTTAAGTAGCCATAGTTGCAAGCAATGAAAGAGATTTTTCTAATGATAAGGCTTTGCTTTGTTTAAGCTGTTGTTGAAGTAGAAACTCCTTCCTGCAGTATATATAACTTTAGGTCATGTCTGGTAGCTTGTATTGTTTAAAGCGTATTGTATTATGTTGCATTGTATTGTATTATCATAATACAATACGTGTTTAGTGTCATGATGTATTAGACGTAAAATTTTTAAAATTTAGGATCAAAATGTAAGTTTCAAAATTTTAGGAGTCAAAAATGTAATTTTTCATAGTTTGGGAGTCAAAAATATAATTTTTAAAATTTTTTGGAGTCAAAATATAATTTTGTAAAAAGTTTGGGATCAAATGTAATTTTATAAAAATTGAGGGGTCAAAATGTAATTTTTAGAAGATGTAAATTTGCATTGTGCCCTCAATTTTTCAACAATTATAGGCTCTGACATGACTCTATATTAGCTCGATCTCGATTCTCAATCATGTCAAACCCTAATATGAATAATGGATTCACTATAAAATAATACAATGCAATACGCCAAAAATGAGTCGTATTTAATAATACGATATAGACCGATTAATTTACTATCCGTATTAACTTATACAATACAATAGTCACACCAAACATTATATTATTGTATTATTATACAATATAATACTCTAATACGGTCAAACAAACATACATGACCCTTCTATCTTTTATTTAGCTATCTTTATCTCTTCTATCATTTATTTATCTATCTATATCTCTTTTTATCATTAGTGATAGTGCAGTTTCGAGATTCACAATGAATATCTTCTCTTTTTTTATACAAAATTGTTGTCCTTTCCGCTTCCATTGAATGTAATTTTAAAATGAGTTGTTACTAGATACTATAATGTTTAAATTAAAATAAGAGTGCGTTTGTTTAGAGAATTATGCATAATTTAAATCACGGTTTTTAGTTTTGTCATATTATTTTTTTCTCATACAAAATTTAAATTTTAAAAGTTAAAATCATGAACTATGTTTTGAATTTATAAATCATACGGACCTTAAATACCTTTTGTTTTTGTGGTCTTTATTTGCAAGCCTAATGGGCTCTAGCAGCAACTTGCAGTAGTACGAACTACTCACAATTGCGATGTCTCTATGTACTACAATGAATGATGCAATTACAATGTTTTAATACTTTGTGACAAAGTAGAACATTATCTGATATTTCCCCCTTCTTTGGAATAGGTAAATACTAGTATTTGCTCTCAACGAATGGCAAAATCTTATTTTGTCGAAGAAATAATAAAAATTAGTTTACTCATGAATGACTAACCAAATTATGCCAATTACACAATTGCTCATAATATTTGGTTTCCTTTCCTAATCTTATGGACTAAAATGACGAATATTCTATTTTATTTCTTTTCTTTTTTCTATGTTATCCCAAAATAAAGAGATTTTTTAGTACATTAATATACTAATAAATTATAATTTTTTAACAGTTAAATTTATATATTTTTTAATTTTTACATAATTTTATATAAAATTCAAAATAAATGACGTACCATATGTTATCGTGCCTCACAAAAGGAAAAAAACCTGAGTGATGGTTATCATCATGTTGCTGATTTGTAGTCAAAGTAGGTTGCAGAAAGGGCATAGGAGGTACAAATAGCAGCTCAACTCCAGCAAATATAATTCAAAGAGATAATTTAAAATTTGAGAGAGAGTAAAAAAGGATGATGTAAATGTAAAAATAGCAAAAAAAATAATGGAGCACTAGTTCATTCATTTAAATTTTTAATTTAAATTGAGATGTGATGTCGTGTAAAAAATTTTTAATGTAATAAAAAAATTAAATATAATTATTTTTAAAAAAATTTTATCCTAATAAAACTCAAATTAATTTTCTCTTTCCAAAATTACAGATTCCGATGCCCATCAGAGATTAACTTGTGTGATCTTTTATTGTTGACCTACTCCATAAGAAACTGCAGAAGTTTAGGATCACATGCGAACTACTAAAATCAATCTGAATTTGAAAATTGAAGCGCAAAACACAATTGAAGAACAAGAATTTGGTCAAAGCCATCCAGTGTTCATAAAATCAAAAGTTCCGTTCTAGATCATTAGAGTTACTTTTTCACGAATGGAAGAAATATACCAAAGTTAGCTACTTTGAGCAATACACTGTAAACAGCTCCTTAGTGAGTCACACATTGATCGCTAATCCAAAGCAGAAAATCAATACTGACCAAAGCCATTAACAGAGATCTTGAATATGTAACCAAAGTAAGTACTGATCTCTAGCTTAATACAACGTCAACAAAGATCATTATCTCTGATTCATGTCTACGAACTAATCCAGTCTTGTGGCGCAGACGACTTGAACATTCTGAGAAGCAAAGCCTTTTCTCTCTTGCCAAGTTTCTTTGCAGAAAAGCCCCTGACGACGCCAAGCTTGAGACTTTCTCTGCCTTCTTCTACAGCCCTTTTTCTGACATCCATCAACAGACCTGTACCTTGGGTAGTGGGACCCGCATTCTTCTCCTTATTTTCACTTCTCTCTTTCTCTTTATCTGCTGATTCGGCGGCGTGGATGGCTCCGTCGCCGTCGTAGCCATCGGGAAAGCCGCTTCCCCACCACTTGTTGGAGACGGTGGATAGGCCCTCCGATGGGAATCCGCTTTTGAATTCGTCCAAGGTCGTTATTGATTTTGCCAAGGTTGCGTTCGTCACGGTTTGGGGCCGTCCGGAATGCGAAGTCTTGCCTCCGGATTCCTGGTTATGCGATGATTTCGACATTTTCGCTCCTGAAAATTGGGAAACTCTCGAAGCAGTTGAGGAGAAAATGAAATTTCGAAATTCTCAAGGAGGTTTGAGATGAATCAGAAGTAGAATCCAGAAATTGAACAGAAATTGGAGAGAGGGAAA